ACACAAAAGTTCCCTCCTCCCCTTGACGAGTCCAGCAGGGATAGTGTGGATACAACACGTGACATTACTTGCAGGCGTTCAGACCTCAGTACACGAGCGAAGTGCAAGAAATAATGGGGATTACAATTTTCCAACTTAATGTTCAACATTTCTTTAATAACCGTTACCTTCTTGAGGTTGAACTACATAACTACAATCCCGATGTTATACTTTTGAACGAGACAGCTGCAAGAGTTGATCAACATATTAAATTACGTGGTTACTCTACTGTAGAGAAATCGAGAGGACCCTTTAGTGGTGTAGCCATCTTAATTAAATTAGGCTATACATTTAAAAATATTCATGTTGATGAAGATAACATTCTTGCAATAGAAATGACAACGTCTCATGGACAACTAGTGATAGGAACTGGATATTTTCCCCCAAGACAACCATATATAGAGTCAATTCCTCTACATAGGATATTAAGCAGAAATACTCCAACAATTCTAGCGGGAGATTTTAATGCTCATCACCCTGCCCTCTTCAACTGTGGAGCTGGTGTTCCACTGGGTGACTTAAAAGGAAAACAACTCTTTAATATCATGACAGCTAGAAACTTCTCATTTCAAGGCCCATTCTTTAAATCGTACATTGGACCTCATCCAGGGACACCAGATATAGTACTGACAAACAGAGACTGTGACATCTTTCACTGTCATATATCTCCTGGTGGAAATGTAGGATCTGACCATATCCCTGTTATAATAAAACTACAAACTTCTCCATTTAGAATACCTGTAACTCCTAAACCCAATCTTAACACCCTACGATTTGACCCCTTCAGGGCATATCTGGGTGAGGATGAAGTTGTGTCTTTGGAAAATCTACCTTCCAATGCAACTGATGATGCAATCAGGTCCCTGCATAATCGAATAATTGAAGCTACTAATGCAACTTGTCAATTAGTTTCCACAAAGATATACCAACAATATAAACCTACTAGGGAAATTAGAGACAATCTACGAAATTATCAAGCAGAATGTCGAAGGCATCTTCAAACGCGGCAACCACCAGCAGCTACACTGCACCGATTAGGGCACGAATTAATTAACATGATTAGTCATCACAAACGAGACATGTGGAAATTTCTAGTTCTTCAAGCTAATCAGTATAAACGGGAACCAGCAAAATTTTGGAGTAAGATCCGACAACTTTTAGGGGCAAAGCACAAGGCTCCTAACTACCTAGTTCATACCTTCACTGATGAGGATGATGAAGATGTTGAAATTAAACTTGATGATCCACAGGACCAGGCTAATTTGATGGGTGATGTATGGGAGAAAATTCTCTCCCACAATAACAGTCGTCAATTTAACAATAATCATTATCAGTTGGTAAATGAATGGAGAGATGAGAACTTGGATGATCTACAACCACTACCTTCCATCGATACTTCAACTCTTGAAGATACCCACCCGCTTACTAGACCTATTACATTACTAGAGATAAGTCAAGTTATTGGAAGAATGAGAAATAGAGCCCCTGGCCTCTCTGGAATAACAATGAAACAAATAAAGTATCTACCTAGAAATTGTAAACAGTCTTTGGTAAATATCTTTAATGCCATCTTGGCCTCAGGACATTTTCCAGTTGTTTTTAAGACTGCTAGGATGATCTTTCTTGGTAAGCCCATAAAGACATCCACCAACCTGGGAACTATAGACCTATATCTTTACTTGAAGTCACGGGAAAACCCTTGAAAAGTTTTTTCCAACAATTGAACTAAAAATTGGAGTTTAATCATTTTTTTACTGAAAAAACAATTTGGTTTAGAACTCATAGAGGTACCAAAATCATGCAAAAAAATGTTTTTTTTCAATATGTACAAGTCTAAAACACGGGAATTTTGCCTTAATTGCCACCGAGATGTTCAAAAAGCCTTTGTTTGCTTATGGCATGATGGCCTTTATATAAACTCTTGACCTACCAGCCCAAAAATGGACTTTTCTCAGTTAATATATAATTTCTTAACCAAAGAAAAATCTTTCCCACCTTTCATGGGGGTGACAGAGCCTTTTATACCGACGCTGGTGTCCCACAAGGTTTTGCCCAAGTCCAATTCTTTTAAAAACTTTTTAATGTGAATGCCCTTTCCTAAACCAAAAATCTGATGATACCAGGGCAAGTGGGCCGTTAGTGTTCCTTTTTTTTTTTGTTTTAAAAGTTTGGATGACGGTCACTTAGGGGAGGAGGTACCGTCATGTTTCCTCTTCAAATTTACATTTGCTTGGCTGTTTCTGATATCACTATTAAAATTTTTCAAAAAAAACCCCTTTTGACTGTTTACGCGTAATTATAGTTTACCCCCACTGTTTCTGACGATTAATACGCAAAATTCAGGCTTAAAATCTAGGGAGAAAGCGGGCCACATGTGAGAAAAATGGGCTGTGTGGTCGGTGCACCACATAAAAAAAATCCTGCGCACGCAGGCGAAATGAGAAAAAAAAAAGACTTTTTTTGGATAAAACCGATTTAGGTATTTTCGTATAGTATTTATCGTTGTATTCTCGTTTTCAGGGTCTCAAGGATAAATGGAAAAATTTACAGAAAAGAGATGATTTGATCTTTCTGTAAAACCCCGCCCTTTAAAAATTGTCAAATAGCAAAATTTTCAATTTTTACCAATTTCGGGGATAAGCAAATCAACCACAAGCCAATACACTCAACTGGGGGTCAATATTTTTTCACTAATACATTTATATTATTATACCTTTTTTACAATATGCGTAGTCCCCATACCAGAAAAATTTTGTATTTTTTTGTTAAAAAAAAAATCAAAATAGAAAGCAATATAAAAAGAGGGCCTAGAAACTGACAAATAAACAAGGAATTTTTATTTTAATGCAAGAATGTCACATTGTTTATTGGACCCTATTTTAAATTACATTTTTTTTAATTTGTAAAATTTTGGCCAAACCTTTTCTGACCATTTTAATATTGGTAGTTCAAAGGTAAAGGGCGGTTTCTTGTACTCAATGAAGATAAAATGGAAATTTTCAAAGAAATACTTGAGTTTGGTTTGACTGGAACAAGGAATTGGCTAAAACGGGGCTAAAGTGGGGCGAAATCGCCGATACGGTATGTCGCCGAGACCATTTACTTTGGGGAGCGTAATTCTGGGGGTTTTTAAACCCAAAAATTTCATATTTTTGGGTGTTTTTACCTCAGGAAAAGTTTCTCACATTTCAAAAGAAAAAAAAAATTTTTTTTTTTTTTTTTTTTTTTTTTAAAAAAAATTTTCGACAAGAATGACAGTTTCAAAAAGGGGGCCTGAAACAGTAAAAGGGGTTAATGCTAAAAATCTTGGTACGGTGGCTCTCAACGGTAGGGGTGCCCCTGCTTTTCACGGGGTTTTTTAAATTTTTTTCACGCAACAAATCATTCATCCAGATCATTTGGTAGTGTGTAGTTTTTTTAGGACTGGGTCTTTTTTTGGAATTTCAAATTAAAAAATTAAAATTTCCCCAAATATTTTAGCTGCTGCAATTTTAAAAATCGTAGTTTACAAATTTTTCCCAACTTTATATACTCACTTTTATGTTAACCCTTTGAGGGTTTTCGGCCGTATAGACGGCTTCGCCCCGGGGTTTTTGACTATAGTACCCCAAAATTTCTAGCGCCCTAAAATCTAGGGGGAAAAGCTGGTAGAAATAATATAAAAAAAAGGGGTCTAGTGGTCAGTGTGCATATATAAAAAAATCCGGGAGCACACATGCAAAATGAGAAAAAAAAATTTTTGACAGGTTTTTTGGAATAAAAGGGGCTTTTTTGCACTGTATTTCATAGGGTATTTGTTATTGTATTTATTCTTGGTCTCATTTTATAGAATGGAAGACTATTACAGAAATTGAGATGATTTTGACTGGTTTTACAATGAAAATACCTTAAAATTTTTAGCCAAATAGAAAATTTCTTTTTTTACCAAAGTTCAAAAAACAAATCATGCAAGCGTCCAAAAACAATCAACTGGTGAGTCTAATATTTCTTTCAAAGTGCGCTGATTTTATTCATACCTTTTACACAATGCGTGTCTGCATAACAGAAAATCTTCTATTTTTTGTAAAATAAAAATGAAAGTGGAAAGCCAAAAAAATAAAAGGGGGGCCGGGGGATTACTAACGAACAGAGGAAAATGTTTTTTTGTGCCAGGAAGTCTTTTTTTTATTCTGGACCTTTTGGAAATTGGAGTTTTAAAAATTTGGTGAAATTGGCAAAATTGTAAATTCTGACCACGATTTTGGAAAATTAAATCATAAATGGGGGGTTTTCTTGACCATTAAATAAAAAAAAAGGGATTTCTAGAGAAATAGTTTTTTTTTTTGTCAACATACCAGGAATTGGCCAAAAATAGGGCTCAAAGTAGGCAAAATCCCCGATGCTAAACACGTCAAAACCCGCTAACTTCGCAAGAGATAATTCCATAAGTTTTTTCAAATTTCATTTTCGGGTGTCATTATGAGTGGGAAAAGATTCTCTACTTTTCAAAAGATTTTTTTTTTTTTTTAATTTGGCCGACCCGAAACAAGTCTCAAAAGGGGGCCGTCGACCCTGAAAGGGTTAAGCATCTTACATAACTGTATTTTTAACATACGCTGAAAACCCCCCCTCCCCGTTGTATGTTTTTAACATAGTCCAATTGGGTAAATATAAACATTTTTAAATTATACTTTGTTTAATGGTAGTTTTAATTTGAGCATCTATAAGGCTACAATTTAAATCTGGAGGAATCCACTAAAAATTTTTATTTTTATCAATGACGGGGAGAAAGCCCTGGAATTTTTGTGTTGATATTGTTTTGGGTTGTGATTAAAAATTAAAATGTTCTTTTTATAAGCTAACAAACCCTGAAAATTTTGAAAAAAATTTTTGCAGATACACAGACAGGCCAAAAAATCATTAGGTACAAGGCCGTTAACTTAGAAAAAAATTGTATATATAACAGGGGAAAAAAAGTTTACCAAAAAAAATACAAAATGTAGATTGTTGTGGGGGCGGGAGGAAATAACTGGGGGTAAAACCACAGCGTGGGGGAATCTTGTATGACACTTGGCTTCCATTCGTTCGTGCCCCACTCGTTGTTTTAACGGATTCCATTTTCGACCCGAAAGCACGCCACTTGAGCCAAGCAATGATATTTGCAACATGTGGATTCGTTAAGATAAACAATAGGGGAATAAAAATCTTAACACTTCCTCCCCTCATTCCATTTTTCATCTAATCTTTAATTAATCCTGTCTGTCATTTATTCTTCATCTTTTGAATATCACTCTCAATATGTAAAGGATCGACTTTCCCAACCCTCCTTCCAAATTCAGTCAATATTTTATCCTTTAATATTTTTTTTTCCTCTCATCATTTTGATGTTCTCTTGTTCATTTTCAATTTATCTTTTACACACAAACCTTTTCAAAACCCCTTTGCAATTTTTAAAATCTCCCCAAGTCGTGTGGAGAAAATGAAAAGAATGATCACATGATTGTCACACTTCCACACATCATTGCACCTTTACCTACATCACGTTGCACTTACCATCACATCACTGTCTACACCACCATCACATCACTGCTCATTCACCATCACATTTTTGCACCACCATCAAATCACTGTCTATACTCACCAGCACCATTGTCTACATTCACCTTCATGTCTACACCATCATTACATCACCCCATTCATTATTGTCTTCATCACCTTTTCATCATTTAAAAATTTATTATTTTTTTTTTTTTTTATTATCACACTGTGTTTCCCCACCAAGGGGGGTGGCCCAAAAAAGAAAAACTTTCACCATCTTCCCATCCTACTGTTTTTGCCGAAGGGGCTTTACACAAAAGCTTTTAAACGAAAAATTTAAACCCCTCCTTAGAGTGCAGGCACTTTACTTCCCATCTCCGGGGACTCAAGTCCGGCCTCCCTTTTTCCCTAAACCCCCTTCATAAATGTTATTTGCTCACACTCCAACAGCACTCAAGTATTAAAAACCATTTGTCTCCATTCACTCCTATCAAACACCTCATGAAAGCCTGCTGGAAGTCCAAGCCCCTCGCACACAAAACCCCCTTTACCCCTGTCTCCAATTTTTCCGGGCCCAAACCCCCTACCCCCCTTTCCTCCACTACAGACGATACCTTTTGAAGTCATTCTGTTTGCCCTTCTCTCTACAGTCCGAACCACCTTAACAACCCCCCCTCCCCCCTTTGGACAACATTTTGGATAACTCGCACCTCCCCTAACTTCCCCAAAATAAAGAATTCTTCATTATATTCACACCACACTTGCCCCAGCATGACTCTCCACTCCCCTCCACAGTTAACAGATGAAAATAAAAATGCCTTTATAATTGTTAGGGTTTAAAAACCATATTAACCTAACTTCAAATAATAATATTTTGGGTTGATGTTTAGATGGTGCCCACCCCAAAGCACATAAAGGTGGTTGAAAGCAAACTGTATTGGGAGGCCAATTGGATATTCCTTGTTACATTCTAGGAACGGTCTACCTGTCAACCTCTGGGGTGATACGTACACCGATAGTAAGAAAAAAAAGGAAAAAAACAGTGGACCCCCGATTCACGATATTAATCCTTCCGGAGTCATCGTAAACCAAAATTATCGGAAACGAAACAATTTTCCCCCCTAAGAAATAATGGAAATCAAAAATTTTCCCGGGAAACCTAAAGTAGAAAAAAAAAACTTTAACCACTGAAATATTAATTTTAAAAGCAAAATAATAATTACAATAACAATAAAAAAAATAAATAATCACAAAAGAATAATTGACACTTCCTTTAAAGAGATCTGGGGATGATTGTGGGGTTTGGGGAGGAGGGAGAGTGTCGAAGTTTTTTTTTTTAAAGGGGAAAATTTTCCCCCCCATTAGGACTTAGGTACAATCCTTTTCTGGGGTTACTTTCCCCTTTTTCTTTTTAATGCCCAGGACCAGCTTGAGAGTCATGGACTTATGTCGCAAACAATTTTTGCCATAGAGGCCCCGTACATCGGCCTTTTGCTTTCCTAAAGTGGTTCAAAATTGTCAGTGAAAAAGGTTGCCAACACGGCTTGCAGTACGTGTCGGGGGATTTTTTTTTTAAAAAAAAAAGGGTTTTCACTTTAACCACTTTGCACACATTTCCTTTTAAACTTTGAAGCAGGCAACTTTGCAATTTCTCCTCCCCCCTCCAAGCAGTTTCCCGGGGCTGGCCCTTCTGGAAGATGATCGCACTCTCAGTGGTTAGTTCCTTGTCCTCCCCCACCAATCTTCCAATCCCCCCCCAACCTCCACCCCAAGACTTCCCCCAAAGCCACAAAGGTTCCTCAATGGGATAGGATTCCCGGGTTAGCCTCAAACCCTCAAAATCCTTTTTGCTACACATTCGGCCCAGTTTCTTCCAAGCAGAGTTTAAGGTCCCTCAGTCACTCCCCCCAAACCTTCATAAAGTTTCACAACTGAGGGTATTAAAGTGATCCTTTCCAAAAATCCTTTAGAGTAAAGGTATCTTTTTCACTTCAAAGCACCTTTCAAACATAGCTTTTTTGTACAGTTTCTTGAATTGGGGAATGACCCGTGGTCCATGGGCTGCAGGGGAGGAGTGGTATTAGGAGGGAAAATCTTGACCTTTTTGAAGCTCAGTCCCCCCCAAAATCGTCTGCCAAGCTGTAGGATGACCAGGGGGGATTGTCTAACACCCGGAGGCACTTAAGGTCTAATTTTTTTTCAATAGGTAATTTTTACATTGGGGGGGGAAATGCAGGGGTAAAAGTCTAGAAAAAGTCCTAGTGACCCATGCCTTAGTGTTTTCCCTCCACACCACCACAAATTAGTATTGGGATATTCTTTTGCCTGAACGCTCGGGAGTTTTAGTGATAAAAACCCAAAAAGCTTCACTTTGCAATCACCCCTAGCATTGGCACACATGAGAAGAGTAAGCCTGTCTTTCATGGCTTATGTCCCGGGAGTGCCTTTTCCTCCTCAGTAATTAAGTCCTCTTGGGAATTTCTTCCCCAAAAAAGGGCCCGTTTCGTCACAATTTAAACCTTGTTCAGGTTTCAATCCTTTAGCCTCTATTGCTCCTTGAAATTTATGCCATATTTTTTCCTCTTTTTGGTCTACGCACCCCACCATGCCAATACACAAAATGCCCACTACGATTTTAAAAAACTTTTAAAAACCAAACCCTTTTCTGGCCTTAAATTCACCACATCACCACTATTTTTAGGCTTTTTCTAATTAAATCCTCATGCAACTGCCTAGCCTTTTCACAAATGTCCTTGAGGATGCAAACTCCTGCTATCTGTTTTTTTCATTTATCCACACCAATAACATGTCTCAAAATTTTTTAACGCTTGCAGTCACTGTTTTTTTAACACGTTGCACCTTTTTCAGAACAGCTTCCTTTATTGTCTTTTTTTCCTGCTCACTAAGTGGATGGGATTGGGTTTTTCTATACAACTTGGGCCCGGGCCGACACAGCCTCAATTTTTATACTTTTGCAATTTTCTCTTTTTCTTTCAATAGTCATTATCACCTTGTCTCGGGGTTGGGACTAGAACTTTCTTGGGGCCCATGGGACTTATTTTGGGAGAAAAAGCACCAAAAACAGGATAAATGGATAATAGGAATGTACCGAATGTATCCTTAGATGGTGCACATGGGGGCTTGTAAAAAACTGGGACACACGGGGGTTCAGGGCCCCACATGGACACCTCATACGAAACGTATCACATACCGGTTTGTAAAGGGAAAGAGGCAAATTTTTTGCAAAATAGTGCTTCGGATACCAAAATTTTTCAACACTGTGGCTTCGCGAACGGGGGCCACTGTAATAGTATATGAAGATTTCTAAAAGTGCTGCCAAAAGAAATTTGTCGGAAATAAAGCTATGATGAATATTTTACAATACTGACAGGGTAAAAATTAGAGACATGTCAACATTGGGTACTTTAAATCGTAAACGTTTTTCCATCCGTGGCTTTTCAATACAACTCAAGGTCATAAGTCCCTGAAAGTAAAGTCTTCAAAAAAGATACCCAGATTGAACATATATTAATTCTTCTTCAGGGGTAAAGTGCTTACAAAAAAACAAGTTCAAGGTAATTTTCATTTGAAAAGATGTCCATTTTAAAAAAGTTTTTGAATTGTTTTACGCATGATCCATTGTTTAGAAACATTGGACACAACCACCTTTTGTACCCCTGTTTTTTTAAGGAAAATACATTCCAACTTACAGCAAACTTTTCATAAATTGGAAACCGAAAGCAACTTGTTAGTTAGTGCGAACACCCGGAACACAACTCATTTGTTATTTCTGACACTTTTAAAACTGTGGAAAAAACACTTATGTAATTTTTGGACATTTATTAAAAGGAAACGTTTGCCACGGTGGCTTCCGTCCTAATACAAAAAACTAAGAAAAAATCATAATAAGTGGCAGGGGTCAGGGGAAGTATGCATGGTAGAGGTGGTAGTTAGTAGTTGGAACTAAGGAGGGGGAGGGTAAAGGGGGCTGCTACTCATGTAACAGCAGTTCCTAGGGTGGGTAAATCCCCTTGATTAGTAAATTTTTAAAGCTGTAACTACCGGATTTTTGCTTTTTTTAGGTTTCGACAGTGATTAGTCAGCTTCATGCTTTTTTCCCATTTTAATGGTCTTCTTTAATCACTAGTTTAGTTTACTGAAAATTTTATGGGTGTCCAACATCATCCCCATGTTGAACACAGCTTTTTGCGGTCTTTCTGCAAATTTTTGTGTTCTGCGATCCTAATTCCGAGATCTTGCTGTTTCCCCTACATATACTTTTCACCCCCCAATGTATGTGTAAATTCCTGTTTGTGCCAGAAACATGCTTTGGGGTTTTTTTATCAGGTTTTCCTAATAGTAGTTGAAGAGCTGGTAGATATTTTAGCCAGTTTTCTGTCAAAAAATTTTAAAACATTTTGGCAACATTGTGACCCGGTAAAACATGTAAATTGGGTTTTTTCACTTGGCTGGTGTGGTCTTGCTGAGGATGTGTGTCACACGTTTCCGATTTCCCTATGAAGTGTAAGGGAAAGTGACTGAAAGGACTGATTAATGAAACTTAACAGAAACACTTACCTTTATTGGGATTCTTCTTAGTGTAGGAAGACTGGAGGGGGAGAAATTGCATTAGTTACTCT